CCCACGTCTCCCCTCTCTGTGCAGTCAAAAACTGCCCCCACCCCTTCTGCAGTGATGTGGATGTGCAGCTAAGGTTGGCATCGCTGATGAGCTCTGGCAAAGAGCTGAGGTTTGCCTTGAGAGCAAGCGGTAGCCTCTGAGGGTTTTATGGAAGGAAGGGGCATAATTGGATTTTTCTTTCTCCAGAAGAATTAGCTGCTGCATGGAGAGAGCAGTGTGACAGAATGGCTGCGGTGTGGGAGACTGGGTCAGAGGGCTGCCTTTGCGACCTGGTGCTGCCAGTGGGCATGGAGAGACCTGAGGCCAGGTGGGGAGGGGCTGGATCGAGGAGGGGAGGAAGAAGTGGCACGACCAAGGGCCATGCCCAGGCCTGCAAGTGATAATTGCCAAGAAGGCTGCAGCCAGAAACTCGGACTGCTGAGTCAGCTGCCAGGCGAGGACGGGTAAGCTCCTGGGCAGAGGGGTGAAGGGCGGGAGGAGCACTGACAGGGCCAAACACCCCACCAGGACCGAGAGAAGGAGGAGGACTGTTGCAAGAAGGGTACATGCGAGAGCACCTGGTTCTGCTGAGAGGGAGCCATAGGTTGCTGTTGACCTTGATGGTCAGCAAGATGGATGGGCAGATGGAAGTACTGAGGGGTGGCTGGTGAGCACTGGCACGTCCAACAGGGCCAACCAGGCCTTCCCCACCTGTAGACATAAACGTCCTGGGTTATTTGTTCCAGAAAGATTTACTGTAAGGCTTGTGGGCCTGGAGCTGAGGTCTTCTGCAGTTGTCACTACTCCGTGTAATAGAAAAGTTATCAGGACTCTGGAAGTCAGCAGGACTGATCCCATGGGGAGGAATCGAGGCACAGGTGAGACACTGGAGAGCAAGGAGGAGGGCAGAGTGAAGATCCCAGCCTGTGGATTTCCTCTGAGCTTCCTGGAGCTGCGCGAGAAGGCATGGTCCCCGAGTGGTGAGCTGTGGAGGGTTCCCTGAGACTCCAGTGTCCATCCCCTGGCCTGCAGGCAGCAACGTGAGACTGTGGAATGATCCTTCCAAGAGACACACTTTGCCTTTTTTTTTTTTTTAATTTATTTGAAGGAGAAAAAGATATCAGCCAGTCCACTTCTCCAGTGTATGCAGCAACTGACACTGGGTCAAACTGAAGCTGGGAGCTGAGGGCTCCATCCACATCTCCCATCTGGGTGGCAGAGACCCAGAGCTGCAACAGGAGTAGGAAGCTGGAATTGGGAGCAAGCAGGGACTCAGACCCAGGCCCTCTGATGTGGGATGTGGCTGTGCAGGTGTCTAACCGCTGCACCGAATGCCCACCCCACAACACCGTCCTGGTAGACCAGAACTCCAGGGGTTCTTCAAGCGTGGTGGCTCCTCTTGCTGCAGCATGCTCTTCACCAGGGAGCTTGTGCAGATGCAGATTCCCAGGTCCTAGTTGGACTAAGCTCAGATGGGGCTCTGCAGGCTCAGATTTCATGAGCCCTGGGAGAAGGAGGGGGTTCCCTGAGGTCACTCCTATCGGAACCAGATGGTTGGCTGATATTGTCAGTGCCAGGGATCACATGGGTAAGGCAAGAGAAGACAGCAAGGTATTCTAAGCAACTTTAAACAGTGAGGCCACGAGAAGCGAAGCTGTTCGTGCCATAGGAAAAGAACTCTTAGGGAAAAATTCTTCCCGCAATCTCCCACCGCCTGAACCTTCCTAGCCAAACAGCTGAAACTTTGGCTGTGTGCTCTCCCACAGGGACCAATCTGAAGTGGGCAGAAGAGACCCGAATCCAAAGGCTCTGACCCCCAGGCCCCAAGATAGGCCCAGAACTGCATTTCCTATCTGTCCCCTGGCCTTGCTGATCTAGAAAATGCCCCCGAATGTGGGACATGGACCGCTCCCCGCCCCACTCTCATGCAGGGCGAGTCAGTGGAGCTGGGGCTGAGGGTGCTTGTGAATGGGCACTATTTCAATGAAGCAAGAGGGGCAGTTTCAAAGTAATGGCTTTTTAAGCTGCCAGATACAAGGACTCCATCTGTGCATGGGACACAACTCCAAGGATTCTAATGATGAGCTGAAAGTCAGTGAAACGCGAACACGAAGAAAAAGTGTTCTGCTCAGGAGCTGGCTGAGTGCTGCAAGACCGACACAGAGGAACTCCCTTCACCTGTTGCGCAAACTCGTCCGTTTTCACCAGCCAAACACTTTGAGAAAACAGTAAGCCCCAGGAACAAAAGCGATGCCACTTTATTTGTTCCCATTGCTTGAATCAATGTGGCCGTAACTGTGTAATGGATAGGACAGCACCATATTACTAGGATTTGAATAATGCTATGTCTGTTTTTGTTTGGGAGACACAGGAGGGAGTGCAGGGGTGGAGGGAGAGGAGACAGAGAGTGGCCGTCCATCTGCTGGTTCCTTCTCCAAGTGAGAAGGGCTTTTGCAGCTAGGAGCCAGCATCCAACCCAGGCCTCCTATGTGAGGACCAGGAACCTAACGACTTGAGCCTTCACTGCCACTTCCCAGGATCTACGTTAAAAAGAAGCACAAGTTAGAAGTCCCAGTTAGAAGTCTGGCACTACACCCAGACTTCTGATATGGGAGGTAAGCATGCAAACTGCCAGGCTAAATGCCCGCTCCCGCTTTAGGCTTGAATCTGATGGCAAGGGCCTTTGGCTAGCGTCCCAAGTGATGCTGTCGCACTGTTTTACGGTGTTTGCTACTGGTGCATGCATGCTTGCAGGATGCCAGGGATGGAGAACATACCACCCATGGGCCCCTGACATCACGTGGTGTGGCCCTGCCAAGGCAGCAGCAGGTGGGACCCCCGAACTCAAGAACACAAGAGCAGTTTAATTTTGAAGCTGCTGATTTTGTTTGTCCCATGAATGATGTTGTAATTATCCAAATAGCCCATGGCAGACAAAAGGTGTCCCATCCCTGGAATGAGAAGAAAATCCCACCTACAAATGTACACACATGTGCCTGGGGAGCGGACAGTGGACATGCGTGATGGGGACCACAGTACAAAGAATGAAAACATCTTCGGAGACCAAAAGGGAGCCCCTGCCTGTTCTCGGAACCGCCACCTCTCCATCGCGTTCCCTCTAGGGGTTTCCTCAGCAATTAGTTTGTGTTCGTGCCTTCAGTATCTGTTGGCACTGACTCTGAGCTGCTGAAAATAACCAGAGAGCCTTGTTCCTCTCCGCCCCCCCCGCCCCCTCCAGCACCTGTTCTCCGCACTCGGAAGCTGGGACCAATACAAGCAAGGTGCAGTAGTGACCTGGGGCTGGCACTGCCTGCAGAAGCCGTGGCTCTCCCTCTGGGATGTGCACATGGATTTCCAGGGCCCCATCAGACACGGAGTGTGCCTCAGTAGATCTGGGAGGGGCACCTGTTTCCCCAGTTCCAGGGGGCTGGTGAGCCGGGATTGGGGGAACACGCAGATTCTGCCCAGAGGTGACCTCCTTCGAATAAGGCTCCTTTTTGACTTGGGCTTCTTTGAAAGCAGAGAGGGCTGATGTTGATTCGTTCCCTGGCTGACGCTTGGCCCAGGGCCCGCACACACGGGTGGGTATTCATTTAATTAAACAGAGTTGGCTTTGATCCCAAAAGGATTTTAAGTGGACTCACCCTGCCTCCCCCCTCACTCCCTAAACAGGCCCAGGATGAATGGGCCGGGGGGGAAGGAAGCCAGATCTAGAGGTCGTCCCCACCCCCTCCTCCCGCCTGCACCTAGATTACACCTCAACTGCTCTTCAGCAAGGTTCTCTCCTGCCTCGCGTTTAAAGCGGTTTACACCTGAGAGCTGATCGGAAAGGAAGAAGAAGAAAGAAAAAAAAAAAAAAAAACGGAAAGGCTCCAGCCCATCGAAAGCTCGGCGGTGGCGGCAGCGTTGGAGCTGCGGGACTTTGAGGTGGCTCTTGCACTGCGGGCTCCCGGTCGTTTGACAGGTCGGCGTGATAGCCTCGCCAGCCTCTACAGCCTTGGGGGAGCGGGGCCAGCGGCATCTCGCACGCCTGGGGCAGGGTGGGGTGGGGTGGCCTCGGGGGTACCCCCTTCCGCACGGCAGCGACCTCTCTGCAGAAAACCTGGTTCCACGAGACCCCGGCGAGGCTGGGCACCTGTTTCTCCTTGCAGCCTCCTTAGGAGGGTAAAGGACGGGCTCGCTTAGGCTCCGTAGGGCAGGGGCAGAGGAAAAGGGAGAGAAACAAGAGGATTATCCTGGTCAGCAATCGGGCCTCGCGGGGCGAGGGAGGAGCGCGCGGGCGGGTGCGCCCTGGGGGAGGAGTACACGTGCTAGGGAGGGGTGGGAGGCTGGCAGGAGGGGTGGAGAGAGGCGGGAGCAGTGAGCGGGAGGCGCCACCGGCTCGCAGACGCAGGCGCCGGCAGCCGCACACAAAGTTCCCCGGGGCGAGCTCATCCCCCGGAGGCCTCTGTCGGAGAGGGTCGCGGGGGCTCGAGCGTCCAGATCTGCTTTTTTACCTAGTGTGTGGAGTGGGTCGCCGCTGCCGCCAGGCTCGTCTACCGGGAAGCCGGTCCCCGGCCGTGCAGCTGCTAAACTTAGGAGGAGGAGTATGCGAGTGGGCACGGCAGCGCGGAGCGCGGGGGCGTCCTGAGTGCTGCCCGCGGGCTCCTTCGGGCACTGCTGCCAAGCGAACGAGCCCAGGCGGAGCAGGCAGGTAGCAGCTCCAGCGACGGGACTGCGCCAGCCCTGCGAACCAGGGCCGCCAGCGCCACCGTGCCGGCGTCGCCTTCTCGCCACGGAGCCATGGTGCGCGGAGCATGCACGCCGCGCGCAAGACTCTGAGCTCCTGTCACACCGAGCATCCCCACCGCCTCTCTCCTCTCCAGCTTGCTTGCCCACGGGCCATGAAGCTTCTGCCCGGAGCCCCCTGATTCTGATCTGTACATTGCTCGCTCCAGCCCCACCGCCACTGGGCCACAGATAGCATTCAACCCCTGCTGCTCCCCATCGTCTCCCAGGGATTGAAGCCCAAGCGCTTGGAGATGGCGCTCCGGGGGACCTTCTGGCCGCGCAAAGTTCGAGGGAGGCGAGAGATGCTACCACAGCAAGTTGGCTTCGTATGTGCAGTGCTGGCCCTGGTGTGCTGCATGTCCAGCCTCTTCGGCAGCATGGGTAGGTGCCGGTGCAGACCCCCAGCCGCCGAGGGAATTGGGTTTCGTGGGCTGGGAAACCTTGGGTCAGCGCCCACTTCTTCCTTGTCAGGTGTGTCCCAAGGGACTCACTAGTCCCCTCCCTGCCAAGCAGGCAGAACGTGCCCAGGAGGGCTGATCAAGGCTTCGGGCTAGCGCCAGCTCCCTGGAGCCACAAGCGCAGCCCCTGGAGGCTCAGGTCGCGGGCGGCAGGCGTGTGTTACTAAGGCGAAAGCCAGAGCCGCTTCAGTCCCCGGAGCGCTCCTGGGGCGTGGGCTCTGTTGGGCTGGAGTGAGAGAAACAGGGTGTTAGACTCTCCTGTGTGTACCTGGTCCCCGGGATGCTGGGGTCCGTCTCTGCGCTCTGCCCTTGCCCCAAGACTTTGCCCAAAGAGACTCCCAGGTGTCCTGACATGTCTGCTTTCATGCCTAAAAGCTTGGGGGCAACCTGTGGATCCTGCTAATTGCTACCATCTCCGTTTGCTTAGACTATGCAGAATTCAGGTAGAGAGAAGAAACGTGTGTGTGTTGGGGGGAGGTAATGTGGAGTTGAAGCCCAATGTCACCTTCGCAAGATAATTCTCAGCTCATTTCCATTTGGAGTTGGGTGCTATGTGCCTTCTGGATTTCTTCTTCCCCCCGCCCGTGTAAAACTGGGGGTAGAAATGCTGGGAACTGAACCGCAGAGTCCTGGAGCTAAAGCAGGTAGTACCTGCTGACCCAGGAAAGCCTTGGCTAGGGAGGACTCAACAGCAGTTAATAATGATACAATTGAGGGAACTGCATTAGATTTAAAAATGCATCACCACCTTCCCACACCCAAATGTGGTGACTTGAAGCTAGAGAGGGAAAATGTGACTCTTTGGGAAGAGCCCAGGTGGTTTTGAAGTCTTCTTACCTGGTGCTTTGCAGTTGGGCAGGGTGGGCAGCTTTGTCCACACTCGGATACACAAGTAACAAAACACCCAGAGGCTCTGCCCTGTGGAGGAAACCTTATGACCCAGTTGAGGCTGAGTGCACCAGGAGAGGCAAACAGACTCCTGGGAGGGCTCAGCGTGAGAACCTTTGAGTCTGCAGGTTCTGAGTCTGAAGGGGTTTGAGCATCTCTGGTCGCAGGTCTTCCAGCCTTCTCCAGGGTGGCGTAGTGCAGTCCTTGCAGTGGAATCTGCATCACTTGGGAGCTTGTTAGCGTGGCTGCCCAGGTCCACTCCAGAGTCACCGCGTCCGAATGTGCAGCGTGACAAGTCCCCAGGTGACCCATGTCTACATTCACGCGTGAGGAGTCCTGGCCAGTCCTGTCAGCTGTCTCCGTCTGCCTGTTGACTTCTGAGGCATTTTGGTTCCCCTGGGGCACATGCTTGTGAATGAGAACTTCATGTTCACTTCGCTAAGCCCAGTGTTGCACCTGCTATCATAGTGCTGAGACCGCTCCATAGTGGCCAAGGTCATGTCTCCCCATCCTGAACCCTCTAGAGTGAAAAGCAGTAAGTTAGAAGCCTAGGGTGGAGGCCTGTATGCAAGCAGGGGGTAGCCTGCTGCCAGTCAAGTGTCACTGCCTTCAGCTCTCTGTGCATGGGCAGGCAGACTGTTGTTGAAGTAAATGCCTGCACACACACACACACAGTCATCTGGAGAGGGCTGGTGTTCCACTGTTCATGGTTGTCTCTCATTTTTTCAACTCAGGGTACAAGACTGCTGCTAGCCACCGGGTTCTACCAGACTCGTGGAGAAACAGAAAGCTGATGGCTCCCATGAATGGGACCCAGGGTGAGAAGAACTGCACAGACCCTGGTAAGAAGCCTTCTCCTTCATCCGGCCTCCCAGGTCTCAGGCCTGGCTGCAGAAGGGGCCTGTATGGATGCTTCCTGCTGAATGGAGCAGCAGGTGGTGGCTTTGTTGAGCCTGGGTGGGTGCGCGGTGTTGCAATGCACTAAGAGCAGCACGATTTGCTTTACTGGGCAACTGAGAAGGTCGCAGGCGAGACTTAGAAAATTTTGTTTCTTTCCGTGTTCTCACCATGCTCTTAGAGGGTATCCTCTCCTCCTCTAGTTCTTCCTGTTTGTTGGTCTCGAGCAGTGGTTTGGCTTTCTCTCCTTTCTGCTCACTGGAGATGATCCATGGTGTTCTCGGGGCTGCAGCTGCAGCTGCCCTCGTGGGTGGTGACTGAGTGAAAGCCCGCCAGTGCAGCTGGGCTTGTATTCTGGAAGGTTCCCTGGAATGCCATTCTGCCCAGGACACGAATTTTGTTTGCTGAAATTTTGAACTTCAGACTTCTTCAGGTGAGCGAGGGCGGTGGGACCCCGAGCTAACGGCTTGTCTAATGTCCTGCCGTGACGGAAGATGGTTTCCTCTTTTCTCATGAATATGGAGGGAATGTTCCTGCAAGCTGCGAGGTATGTGGAAAGCACCTAGCCCTCAGACAGGGCCATTCTAAGCTTTAGTTCGGCTCCAATCCTAGGGCGTTTGTGAGAGCGCTCAGTGGGATGGTACAATCAGAAGCCCCGCAGGAATCAAGAGGTGCTATTATAGATGGCTTTGCATTGGGACAAAAAACTCACATGCTCTTTGGCGATCTCTGCTTTCTCGTCTGTGCTGTGGGCAGATGATAGTGTCTGCCTGCGTGCCTGAGCAGGGCTGTGGGAAGGACCTGGGTGGGCTCTGTGCAGGAGGAGGAGGAGCTCTCTGGGTGGAGGGCTGGGGTTGGACACTTCTGGATCGTCTTGTTTTCTTGTCCCCCATGGGGGGCAGAGTATGTCTAATCTACAAGCTTAGGTATGATCCAGTGGGGGAGGAGATGCAGGTTGCTCCAAATCCGGTGACTGCTAGGCGGTGCCACTGACTTGGAAGGCAGGCCCATGTGATCAGCACGTTTTGTTGGTTTCCTGTGCTTATGGGAGCAGAGACCTTCACTCTATGCTCTTCTCCACACCATCACTGTCCCTTCCTCAGGTCTCCTTTGAAATGTGGAGGGTGGACAGGCACGGGCTGGCAAAGAGCTAGACTTCACCTTGAGCTTGGGCATGGTGTTCCTGAGCCCAGCCTACCCTGGCAACCCCACAGGTGGCCGTATCTGGCTGTTGCCTGCCCTGCTGTGTCATCTTCCATACACTGGGCAGGTGAATGTGTGGGTAGCCCTGTCACCTACCAGGGTCCTTGACTTGTATGGGTCATCCCCTGACGTTTCTGGGACCTGCCAGGCCAGAGTTGGCATTAATCTCCAGGGCAATGCCTTGCTACCATGGATCAATAATCAGGGGCAGAACATTTTGGTTCGGTTGGGTTGTCTTTGGCCTCCTGTGATAATTTGATAGGGAAGTGGGGGGTGAGTAGGGCAGGGACTTGGTCAAGTGGTTAAGATGCTGGCTGGTTGACACACTTATGTTCTGGATTGGAGTGTCTGGTTGGGACACCCAGCTCTGATTCTAGTTTCTTGCCAGTGTGGGTGCTGGGAGACAACAGTTGATGGCTCCAGTGACTGGGCCTCTGCCATCCCCAGGGGAGACCTGGATTAAATTCCTAGCTCTAGCCTAGTCTAATCTTGGTCATTGCAGGCCTTTGGGGAACAAACCAGCAGATGGGAAGCTCTCTGTCTCTCTGCTTCTCAAATAAATAAAATTTGTAAAAATGTATGAAATCAGTGACTCCCTCAACTGGGCAAATTCAACAGATACTGGTTCCTTCTAGTTGTGAGGCCGGCAGCTCCACATAAAGTTAATGGTAGCAAAAGAGGGAGAGAGGGAGAGAGAGAGAGAGAAAGAGAGAGAGAAAGAGAGAGAGAGGAAAGCTCTCCTGTGTCTTAGCACTAGTCCCATTCTGGGGGCTCCATCCCCATGACCTCATGGAACCCTGGTCGCCTCCCAGGACTCACCCTCTAAATGCCATCCCCCTAGGATTTAGCGCTCCCACTCGCCAACCCTGTGGAGGACCCAAACCTTCCTTACCCATGTCGAGAACCGATGAGTTTCCTGACATTTCACGGTGGTGGAACATGGAGCAGGTGAACACAGCTGAGCGTGGGACCCCATGCTTTCTTATCCCAGGCCCTGGTGGAGTTAACAGGTGAACAACCTGCCTAACTTTTTTTCCCTCTTCTGGAAATATATTTCTCATTTGGATATTTTTGGCTTTTGAGGATTTGGGGCTCTGGAGAAATGGCCAAACAGATATTCCTTGCTTCTACCTGGGTAAACATGTTTGTTATTTTACATTTGGGCTGTGTATCTGGATGGGCGTGACTTCCCTGTATCTGAGCTTGAATAAGTGGTTTGTCCTCTTCCGTGTCACCCCAGTTCACTTGGGTTTCCAACCTCCCGTGTTCCATGCTTCAAATGAGGAAGAGGTAGCGAGGGGAGTTCGGTTTCCTCTGGTTGTTAGGGGAGGGATTGAAATGTTTCTGGTGGATTTGCTTAATGTATTGGATTCTTCCCTTTCCAGACGTGGACTGCAACACGTCGCTGTGTGTGCACAGAAGGAGGGTACTTGACAGGGTCCATAGGTGAAGGTGGGCTGTGGTGCTTTGAGGAGCAGAGGAGGTAGATAGCGGGGCTCTTATGGCCGAATTGGTTCTGATTCACCCTTCTTTGGCACTAGGCTGTTGGAAAGGTGGTTGGTGGGAGGAGATGGGGGTGGAGTCTGGTGAGGGCAGGATGCTGAACAGGGAGCAGGGGCTGGCCTGGGCTACAAGCGAGGAGATGAGATCTTATAGCAAGTTTCTGGGCAGGGATTCTGAGCAGAGAGAGAGAGAGAAATCCAAAGGGGTGGGAGGGTGAACCCGAAGCTGCAAAATGTGCATCAGAGTGAGTGGGTGGGAGGTGCCATGGTCCCCAGGCAAGACAAGTGCCTGGGTTGTGAACAGGCGGCTTCTGGAAGCTGCTTCAGCAGGCTCAGGAGCCAAGTCACTCCTCCCAAGTTTAAAACATGTTACGTAAAAGCGAATCCTGCTTTGAAAAAGGAAGAACTGAACTGAACACCGTGGGCAGAGAGACGACAGTTGTGTTCCTGCCCCAGGTGGATGGGGCAGGAGTCAGCTGGGAGGAGGGCGCATTTCTAGACAGCATAACCTGCAAAGCCCCAGGTAGTTTTTTGGGGACAGTGGTCTCCAACCACCTTAGGACAGCCACAGCTTTGCCGAGCTCCTCCCCTGATGACTGAGGAAGGTGGCAGCCTGTCAGTGATGTACCTGCTATGTCCTGTTTGTGAGCAAGGTGGGATAGGAAGCTGACGGTCTGGGTTCTGACCTTGGCTGTGTCAAGGATGCACTTGTTGGCACCTAGTGTTTTTTGTCCCCTTTGTCTCCATCTCCCCCCCTCTGTCTGTCCCTTAACAGAGTGACTTGCTGTGGATTAGTTCTAAGATTTCCAGGGCCAGAAGAGGCTCCTGTCAGTTTGTAATGAAGATGATGGTGCAACTCCCTGAAGGCAGCGTGGCCGCATGACCTAAGAAAGTTGCATAATCCCTTAAGCTTAGGGTTTTCTCTTTTGTAAAAGGTACAAAGCAGAGCTGCCTACCTGAGCCACAGGGCTGTTGGGAAACTCAGGTCCCATGGAAAAGAGAAATATTTTTAAATCACATTCAACATGTGGTATGGTTGTTTCAACCTCTGCTGTGGCTCAAATACAGATGCTGGGCGCTGGGTGCTACTCTGGGTGCGTCTGTTAGTGGGATGCACCTGTTAAAACTGCTGAAGCAGGACTGATGCCTTATTGCCAAGTATGTCTTGATGGATGTGTATTTCTATTTGTGTCTGAATCCCAAAGCAGAATCCTCTACCCCAGCCATGCCACATGGAGCCAGGCTTTACCGATGTGGGTGGACTGCACTACAAGCCCATATCCTTGTCCATAATTATTCATAACTAGTGGGGAGAGAAAGAGGAGGAGGAGGATCTGGTGGCACATTGCAGCTTGTCACTGCCCAGGTGTCCCTCCTGTCCTCAGCCACAGCAAACATGTGTGCATACCCCATTGCTTGGTCTGTTTCTAATCTCAGTGTGTTTGCAATCAAAAGTTTTTTTGGCCTTTTGCAAACTTTCAGGCCCATCTGCTAGCTGTCCCTCCTCCTTGCTGGGCCATCTGCTAACCTCCAGCATGCAGACCATCCTCTCTCGATGTCGTTATCGCCCAGGCCCCACAAGCTGGAGTGCGCCCACTCGGCTTCCTCTTGAACTCTGGGGAACGTTCCTGCCCAGAGTTAAAAATGGAAATCATTAAGCGTTGCCATGTGTTGTCTTGGGTGGAAGAGACCCAGCCGTTCCACTCAACGGGAAAGTTGAAGGCTTGAGAAGGGATTTTTTTCTCCCTCAACATTGTCCATTATTGAAGAGTCCACTGAAGCATAGCATTTTACTAAAAAGGAAGAAAAAGAAATGTACTGGAATAATTTTCTGCTTCTGCTGTGAAGGCCGTGGCTGTCTGCCTGGGGAAGGGAATGGAGGTCCCTGTGTGACTGGGCAGGGACGGAGATCTTGGTTAGCACATCTTCTCTTTTGCAGAGGGAAACATATTGGCCCACCCTCTAGTCCTACACTCCTGGTGCTGGCTCAGCATAGTGCATGGCTCCAGCCTTGGGTCTCATAGTCACTGCCTGGGAAATCAGGCACGAGGTGTATCTGCTATGTGTCTTTATACTAGGGGCCCTGAGGCTAGAAGGGACTGGGGGTGCCCAGGGTGGGATGGGGGATACAGGTCAGGGTTTAGATGCTAGACAAAGCCACCTGTGACAAGGAAGGGTATCCCAGAGGAAAGAGTGGTGGAGGGTGGGCTCCAGGCACGTATGCTCAGATTGGGATAGAT